GGGAAGGTTGGTGAAGTCGAGCCATGTCGCCGACCATTAATACGGACTCATGTTCTCTTTCTCATATGCGGGATCAATGAGGAGTGGGTCTCATGGGCCCATTTCGGGAAGTCAAGACAGGCGACCTGATATCTTACTGGCGACCGCAGGGAATAGGTGGTTTCCGAACTTTTACTTAGGTGTTATTTCCGTGGTGGTGAGGGGAGTTAGGGAGTGACTAGTATACTTGAAACTGCAAGATTTTTGGTGGAGCTGCACATATTTCGGAATCATAAGTCCTAAACATGGAAAAAGATGGAACGTCCATACCTTATTTTATGGAAGGAACTCTATTTTTATAGACAGACAACTCCTGCTACCAAAAAAAAAGGGCCACATCACTTTTAATCATAATTATATTATCCGTTTCCATAACTGATAAGATTAGGAAGATAATTTTCTTCCTCGAACATTTTGATCCACACAAGAAAAAGTAGTTATCCTTTTTCATCTGCCTATATAAACTCCTTTGCATCCTCCTATCGGTCATATTCTTTTATCGGCGTTTTCTTCTTTCACTAGGTTTTAATAATGGGATCTTCAGGTATATCGCTGGCTGTGGCTTGTGTGATTTGTTGGTGCTTCTGTTCCATGGAGGCATCTCATGTGGTGTATGAAGACCTGCAATCCATATCACCTACCTTGGTCAACGATGAACTGAAGCCCGTATACCATTTCCGTCCCCCTAGACATTGGATCAACGGTAGTTTCTCAACTCTTCACGTCGTTTTGTCGCTCTCCGATGAAATAAACCGTCCTTCGTATAAAAAAAAAAAAAAAAATATTTCAGCATTATTGTTTTGCACCGTTTACTCACCACGTTTCTTTTCCTTTCCGAACGTCGTCACCATCGACACCTTCACCGGCCGTGGCAAGCAGATCCAAATGGTAAGTTCCTCCTATAACCCCTTCCGCGTTCGACGTGCAAAATATAACTTCTCCTCCCCCTCCCCGTGATGAAGACTCAAACCAACCCTACTCCACGATTGTTTCAGGGCCTCTGTACTACAAGGGCATCTACCACCTGTTCTACCAGTACAACCCCTACGGCTCGGTGTGGGGCAACATCGTGTGGGCCCACTCGGTCTCGGCCGACATGATCAACTGGAAGGCGCTCGACCCTGCGATCTACCCGTCCCAGCCATTCGACATCTACGGGTGCTGGTCCGGCTCCGCAACCATCCTCCCCGGCGACAAGCCCGTGATAGTGTACACAGGCATCGACCCTCAGAAACGACAGATCCAAAACATCGCCTTCCCCAGCAACTTATCCGATCCCTACCTGCGCGAATGGACTAAGCCGGACCACAACCCCGTGATCGACCCGTCGGATTCCGCCGTCAACGCGAGCGCGTTCCGTGATCCGACCACGGCGTGGTATACGCCCCACGACCAGCACTGGTCTCTGGTGATAGGCACCAGGAGAGGGAGCAGGGGCGTGGCCGTCTTGTACAAGAGCAAGGATTTCGTCAAGTGGACCAAGGCGCGCCACCCGCTGCACTCGGCCAAGGGCACCGGGATGTGGGAGTGCCCGGACGTGTACCCGGTGGCCTTGGAGGGGAACCAAGGGTTGGACACCGGCGAAGTGGGTGCTGGGGTCAAGCACGTCTTTAAGGTTAGCCTGGACGAGACGCGATTCGACTACTACACGTTGGGCACGTACTACCCTAAGGCGGATAAGTACATACCGGATGCTAACTCTACGGATAATCGTAATGGGCTGAGGTATGACTATGGCAACTTTTATGCGTCCAAGTCGTTCTACGATCCTGCGAAGAAACGGAGGATTTTGTGGGGGTGGGCCAATGAATCGGACAGTGCTAATGCCGACAAGGACAAGGGTTGGGCGGGAGTTCAGGTGAGTCTTCTTCTAACATTCGAGTTCAGGTGGTTCGTGCTTACTCGTCCTACGATGACCGACTTTTGCACGTAGGCGATTCCAAGAGCTGTGTGGCTCGATAGCAACGGTAGGCAACTCGTTCAATGGCCGATCGAGGAGTTGGAAACGCTCAGACACAAGCACGGGTCCGTCAAGAACAGAAACATCCCGAGTGGTACTTCTTTTGAAGTCAAGAACATACTGACAGCGCAGGCAAGTTGGTGACTTGAGATTATTATAATCTCAGTATACTTCCTTGTCAGATTTGAAGATTTTTAAATCTTAATTTCTTGACTCGCTACCACAGGCTGATGTGGAGGTAACATTCGAGGTTGGAAGCCTAGAAAATGCCGAGGCATTCGATCCACTTTATGCCACTGATGCTCAAGCACTGTGTGCCAAAATGACGGCAAAAACAAAGGGTGGGGTTGGCCCATTTGGACTCCTGGTTTTGGCTTCAGCCGACCAAGAAGAGGCTACTGCTGTCTTCTTCAGGATCTTCAAAGCTCAAGACAAGCACGTGGTCCTCATGTGCCATGATCCTACTAGGTTTGTTTCATTTATGCCGATAATTTTTCCATCTATTATATATGCCCACAAAAAAGATTTATACTAAACTCATCAATGTGTTTGCATATACCGTGGCATAAACTTATGAAGTTGAATCATACGATAGTAGTATCTGATCTTTGGTTGTCGAACACTGAATTCACTCATTCATTTTGTCTGAGCAGGTCATCTAAGAGGGAAATGATATACAAACCTACTTTTGCCGGCTTTGTCGATGTCGATATCGAAAAGACAAACAAGATATCTCTTAGAAGCTTGGTATGTTGGAATTTAGGCATCGCATTTTTCTTTTTGTTTTTATAGGTTTATTCATCTCGCTTTGTTCTGTTAAAGATTGATCACTCGGTGGTGGAGAGCTTTGGGGAAGGAGGCAAGACTTGCATCACGTCAAGAGTTTATCCCAGCATAGCGATCGGACAACAAGCTCATATGTTCGTGTTCAACAATGGTGCAGAAGACGTGAAGGTTTCAGAACTAAATGCATGGGAGATGAAAGCACCAGAAATGAATGACGACATTATCTTTTGAAATGACAACTTTCTCTTCTAATTAATTTGGCTCTCTTCCTCTCTTACTCTCTCTTATAAGGAAGTAGTCGCTTTCTCTTACTCTCTCTTGCTCTCTCTATATATATATATATATATACACACACACACACAGTCATCGTGGTCCAAAGCAACGCGGATCAAGATTTGATTAAACATCAAATTAAGAAATGAGGAATAAGCAGTGACATTTAGGTTGCTATGAGGCGGTTTAAATTTGATGAGCCAGCTGGAGACTCCTCATCAATAATTTATTCGCCAACTGTATGATGTTATCCTGCGACCAAGAACTTCACATGTTTCCTCACGCCACCCTACGTGACGTAAAGGCCTCAAATCGGATGTCATCAACCCTCACGCCATAGTATAAAATCGCTAGTCGGCCTCCGGTCAAAGGGGAGGCACAAAAACAAAAGAGAAAAAAAAAAGCAATCCCTCTCGTTACTAAGTTACTTGACGGAGTGGCCACAGCCTGTGGACCATCCGGCGAAGACCATTTTTACAAGAGGGCGACCCCTCGTTGACGGCGAGAGTCTCGGCACGAGAAGCGACAGTCGCCCGATAGTGTGGAGTTGTTAATCAGTCCTGATCCCGACCAATGCCAACCAGCACTCTCTTCCGACGGTCCAGCCACCTCTTCATCCAGATCATCCCACAATAGGCTCCCGACATCGATCCGCGGACCTAGTCGTGCAGACTCATCGGCCATGGCATATTTGTTAGCTAACAGGTTGCATGGCTGAAATCTAGCACATATTCCAACCAAACTGTTAATTCTTCCTTCTCCACGGATTTGATTCTAATCCGTATACATAAATATCAAATGCTCATTTCATACGAACAAGTGAAGAATATATTCAAGCTAATAACTATCATATGCTCATTTCATAACATATAGCTTCATGAGTTAATGCCTAACTCGGACCTACCACATCATGTATATATCTGACCGCTTGGAGAATTTGGCTTCGCCAGTGTACTCAGCATTGTTAATTTCTCAAACGAAGATCACCTTGTCTCGCTCAGGTAAGGAACACGAGAAAGAGGGAGCGAGATCAGTACACCTCTCCCATATAAATACCCACCTCCGTTACGGTTTCTCATCTCTCTCTCTCTCCCTCGTCATTTGATCGCTGCCTCCTCCGCTTCCTCTAGTCATTCTTTGTCGGCATCTCGAGACTCCTAGGTTCGATCCCCTCCTCATCTTTGTCGATTTTTTTCTTGCTTCGTTTGATGGATTCTCTTCTGATATATGATTGTCGAGTTTTGGTCATGTTTGTGGATTCTATATATCAAAGTGAGTTTTCTTCTTTTTCTGGCTAGTTTACCGAGTTCAGGTTGAAGGTTGGGTGTAGAGGCAAAGGATCACATTGCTCGGTCTTGGAGGCCGACGACTTCGAATAGAAGGTCGTTCGATGAGCGATCATTCGGTGAGATCTCGATGACGGTAAATCTCAGGTCGGTCAGTAGCTTTGGGAGCATGTACTCCTCTGGCGTAGGGCAATCATTGCTGGACATGCCAACCTCATCGGATCGGGATTCATTGATGCCACAAGTGATGGTTTGATCGATAGTTTTCTTTCGGGCACTGCTTTGATGGAGGTTCTCGATTGTGATAAGGTACAACACGTTGCCCGCATGTTGCCCTGTCAGGATGGTCATTAGTGCTTTCGAAATAAAATTTTAATTTGAAAATTCAATCGATAAATTCGTATCGAAAATACATTTAATTTAGAATGTGAGTAAGAATAATGAGTAACCAAATCAGTTAGTAATTGTAAGAAAAAGTATAAAAAAATATAAATCGATTTATATTAGTTTGATCGTCCTAACCTACGTCTACTCTCGATTTCTCTTTCCTCGAGGCCACCGACTTTCACTACTGATCTTCTTTTCAACGGACAAAAATCAACTAACCTTGTTACAACTCTTTTTTCTTTTCACGGGTTTAGGAAAGAACCTTCACATATCTTTTTTAAAAGAAGACCTCACACCTCCCTTAGAATAACTTCTAAACTTAAGGAGGAAGAGGCTCAACACTTTTTAATAGAGTTTATACACTTAAAATCATAAGTTTTCATACTTTGCCAAGCAATCACGAGTGGAGTATTTACCACTTGACAGTCTAGCGGTACCATCACTTGGGCTTGGTGGTACCACCGCCCAACCCAACCCCATGTCATTGAATTAGCCTTTCAACTGGTCCAATTTGACCCTAGTTCAAACCTAATATACTCATAATCAACTTTGCATGGTTACACCCAAAACCAACTCAATTAAACTATAAATAACTCTAATTACAATCATGAAGCCTTCAACATATTGTTCGGTATGTTATCTGTTCATCTGGCACTTCGTCCAAACCTCCGACACATCGTCCTTTCCTTTTACGTATTGCCCAATCCATCGATATATTGACCTCCCACAACATCCAATCTTCTTGGTGTAATACCCGATCCTTCCAGCCCGATGTCCGAACTCATGGTACGAAGTCCATCTTTTGGTATGTCGACCAATCCTCCGACCTAACATCCAATCTCTAACATGATGCTCTCCGATCCAATGTTTGATTCTCCTACTTCAACGATTTATCATTCGATGGTTCAAGTCCATGATCAAAGTTTTTCCTGTATCACTTATCTTAAATGCTTATTAGTTTATAAATTCATCAATTGATTTCATCGTCAAAATTCAGGATTCAATAATCTCTCCCTTTTTTATGATGACAACCAATTGATGATGTAGTTTTAACTAAACTCCCCCTCTCTATATGTCATTTTGAAATTAACTGTTGGGAAATCTTGGGGGGCGACATCATATGCGCAGCGGAATAACAGAAGAATAAAGTCTCCAAATTCTCAAAGTTGTGTTCATTGTCGTGCGAAGATTGGTACGTAAAAATCACAAATTTAAAACTAGGTATAAGATAAATTATGTTAGCTAGGGAGATCGTATATCTTTAAATCCCTACAGATCTCTAGGAGAGGGTGAAGGAGGTCAAGCGCCCTCCTTTCTAGCAATGATCCACATAGCAGAGTTGTGACGATGCTCTTCAAAACTCTAGGCCTGCTTTAAGGTAGAGAGGGGGAGGAGAATAAGAGAGGCAACTAAAAATCTCTAGCCTATGAACCACTAGTTCCTTTCTATTTATAGAGGTCCACAACGACCATAAAGTAAATCAAAAATTCGATACAAGATAGAGCGGATCAATAAAGTAAATCAAGAATCCATCAAAGATAAAGCGATTCACAAAGTAAATCACCTTGGTTAGATCGTTGGGTTACCCGTTCATTTCATGAAAGGCAAAATTAATTCGAAGATAATAAAATTGCATTGCGTACCAGAATGGGATGACAGAGGGTTGTCTTGAGAAGCTCCCCGTTAGCCTCTAAAGTTTCCCGCCAAAAATAAGTAAATCAAGATTATAAATCCAAGCCGAAGAGATAGAGAGAGGGAGAAGGCGGAGGGAGGAGGATCCGGTGGAGAGAAGTAAGAAATGGATTGAAAGGAAAAGAGACAGAATGACAATTACGGGGCACAAAAGCATGGCTATGGGCCTTGCTGCGTTATCGAAATGATCTCAAAGCCTCGCTTAGCTCTGCCCGGCCCAATAACCATTCCTGGGTCTCAAAGTACGTGTCGTCGACAGCAATGCCAATTACGTGTAAGCTTTGGGAGAGCAAGAATTAATTCTAGAGAGCTCCTACTCTTTGACAGCCTCATCATCGGAGAAGCATGGAGATGTCCATATGCATACCTTCTGGATGACTTGGAACAATTCTTCAACGCGTTCGCAACAAGTATATGTTTTGACTTCGATCAGCTGATCCAAAGGAAAATGTTGCAAGTCAACAGGAGACATTTGAGCTGGTTGACATGACTAATTAAAAAAGGTGTCAAAGTCAGATACCAACTTAAATCTCCACCTTATTCCTATTGACAGGTAACGTGCGTCTCACTCCACTCATCTTTCTCTGCACTTAGAACTCTCAAGCGCTAAGGTTACTAGCTTCGATCAATTTCCTATATGTTTCAAAGACATTGTTGTTCGTCAAATCCACTTAAAAGTCAACCACCTGCTCGTTGAATCTACTGAGATCAAGCGTGTGGGCCCTCGGTTGCTTTGCTTCTCTCGTTTCCAGTACT